ACAATTTTCATGCACCATCCGTGAAGGGTTGCGTGTGCTTAGAATTGGGGGGGAAAATCAGCCAGGATGGTTAGTGAAAAGTCTCTTCTCTGGTTCAATGTTACCAGCTTGACAACGCTTCCCTTCGTCCCGAAGGAAAGATGTCAGCTGCCTCCCCCCCCCCGCCAACCGCCACCCCGGATCCGAGAAACTGTCATTTTCCAAGTGGCTAAAAATACCGTTTTTTCTTCCGCCTCCACCTTTTCGGCTGTGGCCCAAAGCCAGCAGCTGTTGAGGCACGGTTTCTGTGGTGACCCCCGGCCCACGTGTGTGTGTGTTCCCGAGGGCTGCGCCCAGCCAGCTGTGCCACATGTACAAAAGCTCTTTCTCCCGCATAACCACGCCAGCTACCCAAAAAAAATCGCCATGCGGAGCAGAGCACATGAGGTGGGGTGGGGGAGCCCAGTGAGCGTTCCCAAACCGGCCCAGCTGCGTCCAGAGAAGCCGCTCACCCCTCGGCGCCCGTGGCGGATTAGACCGAACATGACGAGGGATTTGGGACATTAATTTCCTCTCTGCCGAAAAAGATCTTTTTTGTCAATGGGGTTTTATAAATAGCAAACGGTCTCCTCTCCCGCTTCCACCCCTCCTTTCCCAACCAGCATCTGCTCGTCTCGCAAACATTTCATAAGGGATGCTACAGTAAGGCGAACGTGTCCTCATTTGCTCGGAAGAGAGCCAGAAGCACTTTACTGTCGGAGTCGGTTGGCCTGCGCCGTTCCAAAATTCTTGGGGAGGAAAATTCGCTCGGCAGGCGACAGACGGGCAAAAAAGCACCCGGCTGATGGTGGCACCTGAAAGTTACGCAATGGGTTTTGGCGAAACATGGATGTAGGATGTTTCTGGACTCTGATGGCTGTGGAGTTCAGGATTTGAGCAGAGAGGCTTCGGATCTTGCAAGAAAGAAGCCTGGCTGAAATTCTCCCTCCGCCACCGAATTTGTGATCTGGCCTTGGTCAAGTTTTCCCACTATCATATCTTCTGCTGTGAGCGCTGAGCGGTGGTGGCTCTTAGGAGCAGTCCACTTTCTGCGGTTACAGCAGAACTAAGCGATTCAAATCCTGTGTCTTGGCTAAGAAAAGGCCCTCGGAATGGCGCCTTTTCTGCTTCTGCATAATTTATTCCACGTCTTTGAAGCGGTCAGGAATGCATTGTGCATGTTAAGTTAGCTGTGCTGCCGTTTAATTGATTCGGGGTTTTCCTGCGTCACAGGGAGGGGAAAGAAGTTACGAAAGCGGGAGGAATTTGATTCTGCCCCCCCCCGTCTGGCTTCGGAGAGTTCCAGAGGGACCGGGCAAAGAGCACTTTCATGCACAGATGGACAACGTTAAGGACTAGAACCTTGATTTTTTTTTTTTAAGCGCAATCAAGCAGCTAATAGGATGCACCCACCAAGTACTCCTTTCCGGCCGCACTGACGAGATTGTCATATAAGGCTGGAGGTGGTTCATCCCAAAAAGTCAACGGGGCCTTCCCTGCTCTGTATCCCAGTGTTCAGACCACAGGATTGTGATACGCCTCGGTTTCCTTTATTGGCGTGGGTTGCCAACCTGGGGGTCACCTGTGTGTTCTTGGCTGGCAACTCCCAGACCCCCCCCCTGGCCACTGCGCATGGCGAATACGTCTCTTGAGGACAGGGCCTCTTTGGCTAGCAGGTTGGCAACTGCAGCCTTAAAGACCTCTCCCCACCTTACAAGCTGACACGACGTCCCTTTAGGTAGAAAGCCGCTCTTTGCCAGAGAAAAACCAGCCAGGCCTCCTCCTCCCTTTGAAATCCTGCAAGGCGATCGCCCCTCATCCCTCAAAGGCTTCTTGTGGGGAAATGAAATGAAGGCGCTGGATTGGGGACAGCTTGTCCCCTCGCCTCTGGCCACCTTCCGCGCCCCTGGGCGGCTCCCGCTCTTTGGAACCGTTTCTTTAGAGAACCGACTGAACACCCTTGTCTGTCTGTCTGTCTGTCTGTCTATCTATCTATCTATCTATCTATCTATCTATCTATCTATCTATCTATCTATCTATCTATCTATCTATCTATCTATCTATCTATCTATCTATCTATCTA